TTGTTGTTTTTATTTTTTTTCTTTATTTTATTTCATTATTATTATAATCTTTTTACCGAATATGGTGCCATACGCCAAATTTCAGCAGTAGTATTAAGGTCAGTTAAAACATAAACCAGGAAAAATAATGAATATTCGTTTCGAATATTCGTATTTGATTTCGTTTCCATTGCGACTTAGCCTATCAAAGGGTGTCATAGTCGCATGTCAATTGAATAAAATAATGTTTATTTAAAAAATTCTCTCTAAACTTAAATAGCTTTTTATGTGCAATTAATATTGCTTTCAGCTTGCCTATCTTCAACTCAATGTTCATAAGAGTGTAAGAGGGAAGATAATTTTTAGGGTTCGAAGGGATTAAGGTGGCATGATACCCAAGATAACGATGACGATTACTTTAAGGAAAAGACCATTTTATTATTCCACGTGCCATTGGCCTTGTTGAGACAAATCATACCACTTTTAGGAGTTGTTGTAACTATGGTAACCAAGCCACACCCAAAATACATGATTTTAAGGCACTTACTATAACATCTCTAGCCCTTAAACTATAATTGGCACACAATCCATATGAGAATGAACAGCACAAAAGGAAGACAAAGAATTAAGACCCTTTTGATGTACCGAATGAATAAATTGCTTCTTTTGAACGTCTGGATATTTCCGTCACAGCGCGCCAATACTCCTTTTGTACATGGGCGCGCAGAGATACGGATTTTTTTTTTTTTTTTTTTTTTTTTTTCGAGTGTTGAGAGAGATTTTCAACACGAAAAGATAAAATTTGTATCTCCAAGCGACCATGTGATATTCTGTTTATCATATAATTACATATGAAAGCGAATATGCCTTTTTCCAGTTCAAGGCGAACAACCGCTGCTTTAGTGGACAACAGTCTCTCATATGCGCATAGACCTTACCATCACTTACCAAAAACAAAAGGAAGCACGAAAAAATGTTTTCATTACAGTAGTACTAAGTCTGTATTACCAGAAGATTCAGACTCTTGCTCAGGCTAAGCCTCGAATTGGAGAAAATTCGAATTTCTAGAGCTATTGTAATGTCAACATGTTTTCTTGGCTTCTTTTGTCCCCTACGCAAGTGAGTCTGTTGTCTACTAAAACAGCGGTCGCTCACATTAAACTGGAGAAAGGCTTATTATGTCCTAAATACCTTTTTTCTTACTTCCACTATACTTAGAGAAACCTCGAATGTGATATTTTTCGCTAGTGAAAATATCAATTTTACCAAAGGGAGAAATATGGGTATTTCATAAGTAATTATATGATAGATATTTTATCTTCTCATGTTGAAAATCACGCACGCTCACTCGTGAGAGATCTTTTCAAAACTCGAAGATAAAATCCATATCTCAGCGCGCCCATGTTATATCCTCTCTTTAACTAATAGAAGAATTTTTCCGTGACTCTACCGGTGAAATATAGAGCAACCGTGATGTTGGGAGAGACGCGAGAAAGGTTTTAAAGTCACGAGCCTGCAGTCGCCTTTTAAGTGATAGCAGCCGTTTATCCTCCAAACAGCATGAGAGCATCAAACGACTTCATATTGATTCTTTGATCTCTTTGAGCGTAAGATTATAAAAGGTTAATCTGAATTCATCATCCAAACTTTCACATATCAGTTCATTAAAGAAATGATTTTCATTTTGTTTTCAGATCAATAACTT